CACACAAACTATACAACTGTGAGCTAAAGTGGCTTATTTTTATTTCTAAGCCCTACCATGCGTCTTCTTTTAAACTGTACACAATATGATTCGTCTATTTACAGATTAGTTGTATATGTATGCAAAAGGAATATAATTAAACATAACTTTTATAATGAGTTAGTGATTAGAAAATATCAGGAATGGAGAGGTCACCAGTTTACTTTAGATATATTAGCTATTAAGGACATACTTTTTGGCTTGTGTATAAACAGAATATAATACAAAATTAGGTTCCATGCTAAAAACAATCAGTATTCTTATAAAATGTTCAATGTTTGTAAAATTGACAAATGATATGCATTTTAAGATAAAGTTAAATATACTTTCTAAAATGGAGATAACATATATGGGCGTAGCACTCTCTTAAATACTACTTAAAATTTCAAAATCATATTATTTGTATAATATTAAATTTGATTATTAATTATAACAAATTAATCCTTAATTTAATTTAGTTAAAAAATCTTAGATTAATATTAGTAAAATATTAATAAAATATGAAATAAATAAAATTTACCTCAACAGTGTTTACTCGTACTTCAGCATTAGAACGTTCGGCTTTTAGTTCAAGCTCAATATTAAGCAATGCAATTTTTGGAGACTTATAATGTTTAGGTTGCATTTCAAAACCAGCATATGAAAATGTTTTCTTAAATGATACACCAGTAATAAGTTGTGAATCCTGTTAACACACACAAATAAAAATAACAATAAATTGAAATATTAAGTCAATAAACTCTTAAGTTAAAAAAGTTAACAACACATAGTTGGTTCTGTAAACACATATGTGCTATTGTGAGCGAGTCAGACATATTACAAATAAACGCACTGACACTTTCTTTAATATCATCTATTTTGTATTAATAATATTAATTAAAATGTGAAATTGTGATATTGACTATTTATAGTTTATATCAATAATGGCATTTTATTTTTAGTATGATATTCCATGAGAAAAATAATTGCCTACTTTTTTAGCTGAAAGTTGACACAGTTACTTAGAAATATATAATGTAATCCTAATCATAATTTAAAAATTAACAAATTTAACCATTAATAAGTGTAATATTTTTTGAAAAACAATAACTTAATAATTTAAGACCTATGTTCTGATTTTAAAAAGTAATATAATTAAATAAAAACACATTAAGATTATTAATCCACATAACTATTACTTCATTTCAATTTAAATAACAAGTAGCATACTTTAGTAATTCATCTAATATTGAGAACTAAATATGAATAAGGAAAAGGAGGGACTTAACTTAAGAATTTAAACAAAAATTACCTGTAATCCACCACCTTGAACTTTTTTAATACCAATCATGTTTAATGGTAATAACTCATCTAATAGTAATACTGCGTCCACTGCAATTTTTGAAAAAAAATCTTTTTCTTGATGAATAAGCTTTGAATTAAGAGCTGTGGCCGCACATTTTTGAAGGAAAGTACGGTATTCTTCATCATTGTTAAATTTCATCTATAAAATAATTATATTATATTAGAATTAATTATGTACATACAAAATATTGATATTTATTTATAAATTTATATCAGTGAATTACTTTATAAGCAATTTGATCAATTCTATCTTGTGCAATTTTTAAGCCTTTACGCAAAGCTTTAATGATAATTCTGGGATGAACTCCTTCTTCAACATAAGGCTTAACTTGTTTAAGAAACTCTCCAGCTAGTAAAACAACACTGGTGGTACCATCACCAACTTCAGCATCCTGTGATTTAGCAATATCAACAAGAATTTTTGCTGCTGGATGAATTATATCTGATATTTTCATGATTGTTGCACCATCATTAGAAATAGTAGCTGTACCACGACTATCCACAATCAACTTGTCCATTCCACGTGGACCTAATGTAGTACGAATGGCTTCAACAACTGCTTGACAAGCAGTAATATTGGATAAAAGTTGAGATTTTCCTTGGCTGTCTTCAGTACCTTCTTTTAGTAATAAAATTGGGGGACGCTAGAAATATAAATTAAAAACATAAGAATTTTGTATCTAAATTATTTCAAATCACCTACTTCAAAATACCGATTTCTTTATCTAATGACTCATTAGTAATGAGTAATATATCAAAAATGAACAGTAAAAAGTAAAATTTGTGGTATAAGATATTGGGAAATATAAGAATTTAAATATTGATTATCAAATTTTAATTGGACAACATTTTTGAAACAATGTCATATTCTTTTTATTTTTTAAGCTCCTATAGTATTTTTTATACTACTATAACATACTTTGTACAATACTACTTTTAGACAATATTTTATAAGCAAATGTTTAATACTAAAATATTGACCTAAATGTCATGATTATGATATAATATAGTGAAATTTTTTAATAATACTCATTACAGTAAAGGGGACAATATAAATGAGTATCATGTCCTCTTGTTAGGTTCCCTTTGAAAAATGTATTCCAGAACAATTTTATGTTATTTATAATCATTTCTTGCAAATAAAAACCATTTAATACATTTACATTATTTGTTCAAAATAATCATTTAATTTAGTTTTGTATTTTTGTTTAATATATTTATAATACCATACAAATCTAAAATAGGTACTCTCAAAATTAATGAAATTATTAATTAATAAAATTGACAGAAAACAGGAAAGCAAATGAATAATCAAAAATTAAAAAAATCTACAAATTAAAACTATCAAAGTACAAATTATCGAAAAATGTATAGCCCTAAACACTTTGATAAAATATTAACATGTTCAACATTTTATCAACAATCACAATCACTGAATCTATTCTTATTTTGGTTAAATTTCAATACAAATTCGACCAATATTAAAGATAATCAATCAAATAATCTCATTTTTTGCACTCATGTGGTAAGAATAACAATAGCAGAACTATAAACTATAGGACCTTCCGTGTACTCCATCATGAAATATTGTTTAATAAATAAATATTTTTATTACGCTTGTAACACTTACCATCTTGTAGAGTTCTTATAAACTTTTAACACTTAAAAAACTATAAGAAAGAAAACAATTTGGTAAATATCACAATTACCGAACAGTAGAAAAGTAGTAGAGCTTTGAGATTTAAGATTTTATTTTTCAATTTTTATAGTTTCTTACTAACCTATAATTGTTTCCAAACTGCAGCTAACTTAATGCACACGACTGCAAAGAGATTAGAAACTATTGTTTTGTGATGGTATCACGACAAACACGGACAATCTATATTAAAATCATTAACCACGGTTAGAGTTATCTTTTATGACTTTTAAGATATAAATTATATTATGATTATGAAATATGAATAATATCAAATCTATAGTATTTGATAATATGAATTATGAATATTGAATATGAAATAGGACAAGTGACTTCTGCAAAATAAATTATTTAAAAAAAAAAAAATTTAATTTAATTTTTATAATTAATTATAAAATTATCACCAAACAAATAATAATGAGTAGCTAGCCATTTTTCACATTTAATCAGAATAATTCACCAAATTTGATCACCTGCCTGTTTTTTCTTTAATAATGCATTTATTCAATATCTGATTTTTGGATTTTAAAAATAAAAGACTATATCTTAAAATACTTATAAGTTATCTTTTGTAGTTTTATACCATTTAAGAAGTGTCTCATGACAATACAAACTTCTCCTTTCAAATAGGTATTCAAATGATAACAACTCCTTTTTCTTAATGCTAAAAAGTATTCAACAGATGATTTTTCTTTAAATATAAATACCTACTTAAATTCTTAAATCATAAATTGAACCAGTAGTTTCCAAATCATTGAACACTATTTACTAAAGATGATAAATTATATGCTTAAACACACCATTTAAGAAGATCTTAAGCCATACTTAGGCTCATAACTATTTGTTTACACTTATGAAAAAAATTAATTAAAAGATTCGATAATACCGATAGGATAGGTAATTTTAGATACTAAGATACCTAAATATTGTTTGATTTTAAATTAGTTTAAAAATTATATTCATTATAGATAGTAGGCAAGCTATATAAATCTATAAACTTTAAAATTGTAATAATTATCTGATTAATTAAATAGGTACCTACTAATAAAAATATGACTAAACAGATATTAAATGTACATATTATATTTTAATTTAATGTATAGCCATATCTGAGGAGCATCCAAAGTAATATAATAGAAATTATCTTTAGTACCAAAACTTAAAAGTCTAAAATTATTCTGCTGAATTATTCAAAATAAAAAATGCAATTCTCGTCATATTTAAACAGAAGTTAGTATGATCAAAAGACACTTTAAATAGTACTAAAAGTGTCAAGTATTTGAATACAGAATAATATAAAAAATTAGAAAATTAAAATTTAGAGTACTTAATTGCATTATTAAAGGAAAACAATGTGTGTTGCTATATGTATTTAGTAATTACCTTATATAATAAAAGGTTTAAGATAGATAAAATTACACTGGTTGTTCACATTTTATATATTCAAGATCACCATTCACTGCTAAATGGATTTCTTTCAAACTACCATTAACCACTTAACGTGATTATTTTTTAAACATAATGTAGACTTAAAATTGTATAAATTTCATTCTAAATGAAGTGGCTACTACACTTAATGAACTAGCATTAGTTTCAGAAAATAAATTATTTATACTTTTTATTAATACTAATAAAAGATTGAAAAAGTAGCAAACCATCCAAACACAACAGCTCAACAAATATATAGTAACCTGCAAAACTTAAATAAAAATGTATTTTATTGTTTTTATAATAAAATGAAATAACAATCAAAATAATAGATGGCTTGTTTTTTAACATAAATGAGAATTTAGAATTAGAATTAAAAAATCAAAGGTAAATATTCATATTTTATTTTTTAATAAGTGATCAGAAGTCAGATCACAAATGTTTTCTTATTAGAAATATTAGAAACTTTTCAGTAATAATAAAGGGCAATTGTTAACAATTAACCAAACACATAATAGTAATTATTAATTGTATATTACATTACACTAATGATAATCTAATTGTTTAAAACATTATAAACATGTTGTTTTAATTTTTTGACAAAATATAATCTTCAGGATAATCTATAATTTTTGGATATTTTTCAATTTCATCTTTACTATAAGAATCCAATGTTTTAGGTATAGATCGTAATGATCGAATTTGGTTGGAAATATTCTCCATAACCTCTTCTGGTACATTAGAGTCAGGGTAAATATGTAAACGTTCCATGACTACTCTTCTGAATAAATTGCCTTTCATATGATGATAAACAGCTTTTCTAAATATCTAAAAAAATATAAAAAAAAAAAAAAAAATAAAATAGTAACTCAATTATAAATATATTTCTTAAACTATAAACTAATAATTTAAAAGAAATATTCATAAAATAGAACTAATTTATGTCAAGTAAAATATTTTTAAACATTAAAATATTGAATAACAAAAAAAAAGTTAGATACTTTTCTGTTGACATGACTAATATGGCCGACAATTTCAGTGATCACAACTACTAAAATTGCATTTAGAAAAAGAAAATTGCAATAGATGAAGTTTGTTTTTAAAACATAAACATAATGCTGGAAAAATATTTTCCTCGACAATGGACCTTTGGATTCTTATATAGGGAAACAAATCAATCTTTTATTATTTAAGTTTAAGATAAAATAATCTCAACTTAAATGAAAATAATATTAAACTAGGGACCAAAATATGTATTGTTAGTTAGTTGCCTAGCTGTAATACGCAATAATTAAAGGATGATAAATAATATTAGATTATCATAGGCGTAGTTAAGGGGGCTTGGGGTGGCTTAGCCTCCCTCCTTAGTTCATAAAATAGCCCCTTCAAAATTTTAGAGTCACTACATATCTAATCTTAGAAGAGCAACAGCCCCCCCACCAAAAAGAATTTGTTTATCCTACACCTTTGATTAGATACCAACATTTTACTGTGAATCATACATATTATTTTGTGAAGACTTTGACTACTTTAGTATTTATTATATTATTAGTGTTAAATTATTATAAAAATATTTATTTTATACCATATTATATCAATTTATTTAACTCAAAACATTGTAGTGTCTTTCTGTAAATACTGTAAAACAGTAAAAATAGATAATATCTTAAATTAAAAGTTTTATTGTATATAGTAAAATTCATAATTATTTAGTACACAACTGTTTTAAGTGTTCTCAAATGTTTTTAAACTATGATAAAAATGAATATAGTTATTTAATATTTAGATAAATAATTTTCCAAATTGGAACTTAAAATGCCTATAAAAAATAGTTATCAAAATACCATTTTTTTTAATTTTATAGTTTCAGTATAAATTACTAACAAAAAATCTTTTATTAAATTTTCAAAACTTAGATACAAAAATAAAAGTTTTTATGAATTTTAAGTACAAAATATTTTGCTAATTTTTATGAATTTAACAAAATTTGTCAAAATTCTAACTTCAAAAGTACGTAAAAAAAAATTGAGGCTATATATTTTTAATATTTTTATACAGATTTAAGAATAACTTTTGTGGCATCTTGTATTAAATCTTAAAGACTTTTGACCCATGGAATAATTTTTTATTAACATTAATATAAAAAAAAAACACTAAAAAGAATTGAATACTTGCCAGGCCTATAAATAATTAAAAAAGAGTCAAAATATTTTGATAATCTTATCTAATATCAAAATAATTTGTACACTTTTGAGATTTTGATGAATTCAGTTGATATTTTTTAATTGAGAAATTAAAAATTTATGAAGGGATTTGTATTTAGTTTTAAAGCATTTTTTACTTTCTAACACATATAACTTTGAATTATGACCGTTTTTGAATGAGAATATTCTCTTTAAACAATCCAATGGAGTCTTTTTTTATGCATGAAGTAAATTTCTATAACTTAATTATTAAAATATCATAAACACTTAAATTATTAAAAAATGTTCAATAATATGAAATTTAACAGTTAAAATGGATTATTGTTATGATATATAATGTTGGTTTATATGGTCTAAGTATTTATATTATATTAAGTGATAGTTGTGGATTTGCGGTAACAGAAAAAATTTTGGCTTTAGTCACATTAATAGAAAAATACCTATAATTTTTTTAATTTAAATACTCTAGAAACTAGATTGATCATTATTAATTGAATTTATTTAAATCACAAGAATTGATAATCTTATCAAAAGTTCTATCCTCAATATTGTTAGTAATTCCTAACTAAATAAATTGTTTAAAAATTAATTGAACACATAACATTGTACAATAATGAAAAGTTATTGAATTAGTAATAAATTGTTATTATACCATGGTTGGGTCTCTATCGTGTAATTCCCAAGCTGGAGTCCAAGATGCTCCTCCTGAATATCCAGTATGATGGAAATAAGCACGACGTCGCCATTCTTCGCCAGGAAATGCAATTTGTTTACTGTTTATAACCACAACATGATCACCACAATCAACTAAAAATAAAATATTAATACATTTTTTTTTATACATAATTAATGTTTAATTGATAATTTAACTTTTAAGAGACATATATATATTGAAATCAATAAATTATTAGATGAATAATTATATTTTATTAATTTTATTATTAACATGTCTTTTCTGTTTATGAGTTATGAGTTTATGACACATATTTGCATCATTAGGTTTATAAGTGTAAGTGATTTGCTTTATTAAATATATGTTTACAAGTTTTAACATAGTTTTTATATTTTTTAAATGTTTTAATTTTTCCCTAAGTACCGAGGAACATACATAAAAAAAAAAAAATACAAAACAAAACAATACATAGAATCTGTTATTAAAGTATGTTTTTTTTTTTAATTATCCATTAAATTAAAATATTTTGTTATATATTATTTATAATCATACAAATATGAAATTAGACAATTAATATTGAAAAAAATTGAATAAAAGGTGGTTTAACAAAAGTAAATTATTTTTTATATTATTATAAATGACCTATTAAATGATAAGTATAGATTTATAATTTATTAAAGTAATAAATTAATATATTGATATAATAATAGCATATTAACACAAATTATTGTATATGTTATTATAATTTAATGTAAGTATAAGATAAACTTATAGTTTAGAAAATGTACATAATAAATATTAATACTAACCTAAAGGATGATAAATTGGTTTTGTGAGCCCCTTTAAATACTTTTCAATTGTCGGGGCACATTCTAAAGGATTTTGCCAAGCTGCATCAAACAGATGCCAACAGCGAGCAAATGTATTCCATTGCTGTGAAAGTATACAAATATTTCAAAACATACAAAATAGTTCAATATTAATAGTTAATTATAATCATTGATTCAAATACACATGTGCTACTTCATAGTATATAAAAATGAATAGCATGATGTAATTTCAATAATAGGTAACAATTCAAAGTACTCACCTTTACCCTCCCTAATTGTGACATAGGTATTTGCAGATTAGAAATATTAGAAAATTTAATTTAAATTTAAATACAACAAAAGTAGTTAGAAAAACAAATGTACAATATCTTATATCATACAATTTCAAATCTGTTCTGTACTTATTAGTTAATAGTTAATGTAATACATTGAGATATATAACCACAGAATAGATAAGTAATGGATGATAGTATAGATGATAAAAAAATCTAATAAATTTACTGGTAGATAGTACTATCTATAAAGCCTTACATGCTTACTGCATCTATAGGTAAATTTTTTTAATTCTCATCACGTAACTGTCAACTGATGATAACCAAAATTCTCAAAATTAAAAATACCATCGTGATTCGTGAGCCATGACTCGTGACCCAGAAGCAACTTTATTTTTTCACTTTTCAGTATTCACTGAGTAAAACCATTTTAACGAGTCATTGTAAACAATGTTAGGTGAACCTATATCGTTTACAGTACAAAAGATTAACATAGCAGTATCGGTGATATCTAAAGACCGGATTCTCGTGCAATTGCAACTTTTTTTCCTTTGCTTTAAAACATATAAAAACAAATTATAAATCCGAATCATGAGAAGTAGATTAATTTAAACGTAGTTTTATTTTGCACGAAATTGCACGTTTTGCACTTTTTATTCTAAATTGCACGATTTTGATTTTCATTGCATGAAATTGCATATTCTACATTTTTTAAATTAAACTAGATAATATTTCAGTTTTCAACTATACAAAAGGAAAAAGTGAATTCAAGCTGGTAATATATTCTTAGAATAACATCAATTTATTAGTGTTTCGTGATAAAAATAAATGACAGCAAATACTAGTTAGATAATAATTTGGAATGTATAACATTGTAAATTTTAACTCAATAAAAAATAAATTTTTTTATGTATGTATATACGTATAATAGTTAAAATTAAAATTAAATAGCTTAACTCTGTAGTTATGTTTTTTTTTACACAATGTGTATATTCTTATCAATATTTTAATTATTTTTTATTTTTTAATTATTAATTGCTAATCCTGTAATAGAGTAAAAAACTGGATAAATAAAGTATAATTTAAGGGTTTAAATCAATGTACTTTGAATGTTTACAAAATGTTGGTAAGTATTAAGCGATTTTAGGCCAAAAATACATTTTTGCACAATTTAGGCACTTAACTGTATGTTTTTGCAATTTTTAAGTTATTAACTGCACATTTTTTTTTATTTATACTGCATGAAAATCCGTTCTCTAGTAATATCACTCCCAAAATTTGTGTGTTTACGAACTAAACCTAATCTACTCGTATAGCCATAGGCGGACATTTAATTGAATAGAGGGGAGGTATAATAATCCAATGTAAAGTGACCCCCTCTTTCTATACACTAGTATAACATGTTACTAATAAAAATATAAATATGTTTCAGTTACGAATTTACAATGTCCTAAGCGACCTAAACCAAGTTTTATATTTTTTATTGCAATGAAACTTCTTTTGCAATTAGCCGTGCTGATAGCCAATTGTTATCTACCATTAATGCTTTTGTGAATTGTTTTTGCAAATTAGGAAGTATTGATTGATTTTCTGACTAAACTCTTATGACATCATTGACATCTAATATCAAGTATGTTAATATTCACATCTGAAGCAATATTTTGAATTAGGTACCTACCTACAACATTTTTTGCCACTGTCATTTGACATTTCTGAATTAAGACATTTTTTGGATAGATCCATTAGAGACTAAATATAAATACGAGTATAAAATAATACATTGCTAACTATATTAATATTATCATTTATGTGAATCAATATTGTACTATTGTAGTATAATTTTAGTTATTTACGTGATAATAGTTTATAAAATGAAGGCTATCATTAAATTCAGATTGAAAAATTATCTATAGATGCATGAAACTTTCTACTGAAAATCGTTTTAAAAATTTGAAATAACTACATCCAAGATAGTATAAAAAAAAAATAGTTCTGAAATAACCTTCTGCAGTAAATTGTTTTGTATTTTCAATAGATATATGTTAATATATTGGTCACTAGTAGATGTATTAACAATATAATTTTTTAAAGTACCTACCTATTTGGCCTCATTCTTTTTCTTTTTGGTCGTATAATATTTCGAATTAAGTTTTGATTTTTGGGGATCTATTGAAATATTTTATTATTTTTTTTTCTGAGGGGGAGAGCTTAGCCATATTTTGGCTTTGGTCCATTTTAGAATTTAAAAAAATTTTTTTTTTATTAAAAATTTCAGCATCAATTTATTTTTTAATATTACTATTAAATAATTTATTTTATTAATAGTATTACGGTAGATTGACTTAATTGTTGCTTAAAAAATTGTATTTAATATATTTTTATAGTATATATTTATACATTATACCCTTATAGCTTATACTACAATATTATGCTATTGTTATTAACTTTTGAGTCAAATGTTAATATCACCTAAATTCCATAGTCTATACCATACGACAGTGAATCATTTCATGGTATAAATATTTAGCTATGCAGGTAATATATTATCTCAAAATTAATCTACATATTTTTTGAATATTTCATTGTGTATAGTAAAATTCATTATTAGTTACAATTTCCAACTAAAACCACTTTCAAAATTGAAAATCAAAGTGATTTATTACCTGCTATTAATTAATAATTATGAACACTATACACATAAGTAAAAAAAATGCACTTTGTAAAATCAATACATTCATTACACTTGACACTCCGTTCAGAATTTAAAAAAAATGTATGCGGCAGCTGTATCTAGCAACGAAGATGTGTCAAGGCAGATTTTACGACTTAGATAATTTTGAAACATTGTCGTTAGATAGTGATGCCATTAGTGTACACATATAAATATATAAATACATAACAAATACATTTTCAACTATAATTAATGTAATATGAAATTCTAATTATGTTTTTAAAACTAAAATGTTATTAAGAAATATTTATCTTGTTTTTATTGAGAATCAAAATCTTTTACTGCATATTATATTTACTCTGTAATTTTGCACTTTTAAATTATTGTATTTAATATTATTATCTAATAATTAAGCTTACTGTCCGACTATCTAAATTATAAATAGATAATATATTAAGATAAATTAAAAATGTCATTGGGTGTAGTAAACTTCATAAATCATAACAAAATAATATAAGTAATAGGTAGTTAAGTTTACACGAATATTTTTAAGGAAAAAATTAACATCGCTATTTATCTTTTAAATAAATAATTTTGTCCAAATTTTAACTTAAAATGTATTATGCTTGGATATTTTTTCATATTTTATGGTTTCTGTAAAAATACTCATGTGGAATTACTGGAATCTATTAAATTTTTAAGTATTAACTCAGCGAATAATTTTTCATCAACACTTATAAAAAAGAAAATACAAATATACCATGTATATTTCACCTATAATAGCTCAAAAATTTCAAGTACCTCTATGGTTATTCATTTTTGAATTATAACAAATAGCAAAAAATATTTGGAAAGAAATAGTTAATTTAAGAGTGAATATCTAATGTCGTAAACATTTGAACCTTAATGTTAATAAAAAATTAATTTGGCTTTGGATAGTTCATTTTTTTTTTTAAAGATTGAAAAACTTTTAAGAACCTTGTGTTAAATTTTAATATCTTAGGTTATGAACAAAAAACTTTGTTTTTTTAACTACAAAATAACTTGTATTTTTTGATTTTTTTAAAAAAAAATATTGAAACTATAAATTTTTGATATTTTTTAACTTAGAAATGAATCACTTATTAGAAACCTTGTATTCAATTTCTAAGAACTTTTACCCATTCACAATTTTTTTATGCATATTATCATTAATATTAATTTATTTAAATACATGGGAGAATAAGTTCTTACATAGTAACATTATACATGCATAATTACGTCCTACAACTCTTTTTATAGCTAAATTATGTTTGGTGTATTTGAAAATTAAAAACTATTTTTTAGCTTACACTTGCTCCCAGATTAAAAATAATAATTGTATAACATACATACATTGAATACAGTTTTTTTTATTATTTGTTTCATTCACTTACTGATTGAAAACTAAAATATATAATTACCTAATTTTTAACATTAAAAAAAATAATAGTTTAATGTTATAATTACATAATGAATTTTTATGATTTGTAATTATATTTTATTATAAATATTTTTATATTATAACAAATAAACACTTGTTTATTTCATTACACATAATGATGACATTATAAAATAATTAATTAATGGTAACTTATGTCCATATCATAGGTCAAAAAGAACTTGTAAAATAAATTGACCGATACAAAATTTGTTATCCAAGTGTTTTATATAATTAACTGTTAAAAAGTAAATACCATTTTGACAAAGATACTATATCAATTTCATGTATACAATAAAACTATTAACCATTTTATTTTATCAGAGTTTAGTATGTATCCAGATTTAGATATGGTTTAAAAAAGAAACAGAAATATGTGTATAAAATTAATATCCTAAGATTTCATAAATATGTAGATCCCATTTTAACTATAACAATATCCTAACTTGTATTAAATAACAAAATTTACTGTTTTAAACCTTGGAATAAATAAGTTTGTAATAGTAGTTTTAAATAATTAAAAATTATTTAAAATTAAAACACAAAAATAATCAAAACTATCAAAACTCAATTTCATATTTGTCAACGGGAAATAACAATGTATTTTATTTATAAGTTAAATATACCATTATATACAAACAAGGTAGTAGTATCAATTTGAAATATTTTTTCTAACAATGTTATGAATATTAAATTACAAATTAAAAAAAAAAAAACAGCAATATTTTTCATATGATAGTTTGAGACTTGTGTTTTTTTTAAAAAAACACTACATTATAAAAAAATTTGGATTTAAAAAATTGATAAGTACTAAACTGTCATAACCTCATAACAAAACAAAACTAAAAAACAGTGTTTATTTTTCTAAACATTGAGTTTTTTCTTTATTATTCATTATTATTTAATATGCAATAATAATAACTAATAGAAATAAATTTAAAATACATACATTACGCACTTGTTACATAAAAAAAAAAAAAAAATACTA